GTGTGTGTGTGTGTGTGTGTGTGTGTGTGTGTGTGTGTGTGTGTGTGACTGTACAGCAGCACTCAGTAGTCGTATGAACTTTATCTCTTCAAATAAACCAATTCATCTTGAAAATTAGCTTGCACTTTGTGGTTGACTCATTCTCCTTCGGTTGCACTATGAAAAATCTGAATAGACCATTCGCTTCACACAACTTTTATTGAAATGAAGTGTGTTCACTTCGAAAGATGGTGTTCGAGATAACTTATTGAATATAAAACGTGCACAAAACGTACCATTCCTTTTCCAACGTTCGTTCATTCGCTGCTGCTTTTTTTCTATGGGTATTTAAAGAATATTTTATCATGAAAAGTGTGCACAACGTCTTTTTATATCCTCTTTTTAACAGCTCACTTTCCAACAGAAGGATATTTACATTCAAATGCATACACATTTTGTGTTTAATGAAATGGTTTTCATACAATTTAACTACAAATCGAAAAGTGTTTTCAATATTCAAAGTGCCATTTTTCTTCTCGTTTAGTTTTATGACTCTCAGCTCGCAATTGCCGGTCTCATACCTTTTTAATTATTAGCTTCGAAAATTGTTTGATTTTTTCTTCCTAAATCGGTTTATTTCTTTTAAATCTGTTTATTTGGGTAATTTTTTTTTTCGAACGAGTTTTGGTGGGAGCATCAATGGAAATTTCTGAAGGAAAGCACGTCATAATCACATCGATTCTATCATATATCCAGTAGAAAAAATGCATTGTTTACCAAGTCTATTTTTAACATTTGGACCAGACAGCCAATTCTTGGTATAAAAAAAAGCTTTTGTAATACGCATCTTGATCAACTGATGGAATTGATAGCATGCGGCTTCTTCAGACCACTTTTAAGCATCGAAATCCTTTCCTATTTATAGCAATTTTCAGGTTCATATTTCATGGCCAAAGAGTACACAGTGGTCGAATTTGAATTCAATTTTCAAAATGTATCACATTCTTTATCAACTTTAGCCCAGTAGATGCATACCATTGCCGAAGCCATTTGCGATAAAAAGCATTTACCTTCTGGCGTTAATATTATACATTTTGTCGCTAAAGATGACCCTGGAGAATAATATGCGGCGCAATTTTGCTGGTAAAGGAACACGTTAACAGAAAGAAAAACGAGCAGAAAGAAATAAGTCTCCATCGAATTTCAATAAAAGTCTATGATCTGTTTAGGATGTACTTCAGATTCATTGTCGGCTAAAAATTTCTTGAGCCGAATGGTAGATAAAAAGTCATCGTCGCTTATGCCAATATATGCTCTCGTACGATGATGATGATGGAACAAACTGACGTGAAAGATGCAGAGAGAGAGAGAGAAATGAAAAAGAAGTAGACAAGGGCCTGAAAAAGCATGAAAGAGGCAAACAGAGAAGCACCATTGAAATTTGTAAAGCAATAACATCTTATGGATGTCATCGAGATAACGCATATAAAAGACACTCACCGAGAGTCCATTGTTATCACCGTTTAGTGTGACAATTCACATACACTCATCAGCGTCATAGTACAGCTCAGTGCTCTCATCTCTCTCTCTCTCTCTCTCTCGGATCGCATCACATCATATCGTACACACACAATGGATATGCATATTCATGTGGCTGAAATGTTTGTGAACGCACC